GTGACAACCTGTCTTCGGGAATCTGATTGGCCGATATGTCTTCTCTCTCTAGATGAAAGCGAAAGGAAACGTGGGGACATGGAATGTCCGCACGATGTTTGAACGCAGCGAGGCAGTCCAGATTGCAAACGAGATGAACAGTTATCACATTGAAGTGCTTGGAATATGCTAAGGGAGATGGGATGGGAGTGGACTCTCCAAACTGTCAACTGGAGAGGAGAGTCAATAATCTACTCCGATATTGCCACCCAGACGACAACCACGAGCATACTGAGTTTCGGAGTGGCTATCATGATGTCTCCTTTGAGAGCATCGAAGGCTCTCATGCAGTCGGAATCGAGCTCCTCATGCAGGATCATGACAGCAAGGTTCAACTCAAAAGGAAGGAGAGTCAAAATCATACAATGCCAATACTACGCACCTTCAAATAATGCAGATGAAGAGAAGAAGGAGGAATTCTACAGACAACTTCAATCAACACTGGACAAGACACCACCTCAATTGGCGATATCAAAATTCTATTGGGTGGGATGACATGAATGCCAAACTGGGAGGGGACAACACAGGAAGAGAACTAACCAAGGGTCGAGAAGCGCTCGGTGAAGTGATGAAGGAGAATGGAGAATTGTTTGCAGAATTCTGTGCATTCAACGATTTGGTGATTGGAGTTAGGCAGTGTGTTCAAGCACAAGGATATCCACAAAGCGCGACATGGATTCCAGTTCACCAGACCCAGGACACACTAAAAATCAAATCGACCATATCTCAATCTCAAGAAAATGCAGACTCAGTCTACTGAACACAAATTCAAGAAGAGGAGCAGATGTGGGTTCACACCACTCACTGTCTACTGCAAGGAACCTTCCAAATCAAGTTGGAAGCCTTCAAGGAAGCTGGTGATAGACCTCAATTCAAGTACAACACTCGGAAACTGAAGGATGAAACTACAAAGGAGATCTTCAAAGCAGCCAGCCATCAAGACAAAATGGGAGATATCGAGGCACATCCCTGAAGAAACCTGTGTGGAAGAACACTGGAAGTCTTTGAAAGCTATGTGGAAAGAAACCTGCACAGCCGTATTAGGAAGGAGGAAGAAAGAAGACAAGGAATGGATCTCGACGGATATGTGAAGGCTGATAGTGGGGGGAGAGGGGGATGGTGAAGCAGAAGATAAACCAGTGCTAGGACGCTCAACGACAATAGGAACTGAGCACAATGTATAAAACACTACACTGGACAAAGAAAAGAAGAAGAGTGAACGCGAAGTCAAAAGACACTTCTACTACACACTGGCAAGTGAAGCAGAACAGGCTGTAGGTAGGAGAGACAGAGACCTGACAACATTGTATCAAATATCCAGGTTGCTATCTGCGAAGATATCAACTCTGATGAAACGAATGAAAGATGATGAAGGGAATTTAATTACGAAAGAAGAGAAACAAAGGAGACGATGGGCCGACCACTTCAAGAAGCTCTTGAATCGACCACCACCACCACCACCACCACCACCTGCACTTCGTCCAGAAATACCACCTGCAGCCACAGAACTACAAATGAACATAAATCCTCCAACAAAAGTGGAAGTCCTGAACGCCATAAAGCTACTGAAATGTAGGAAAGCAGCAGGACCAGATGGGATCCCGCCAGGAGCACTGAGAACAGACGCAGAGACAACAGCAGAGATGCTCACACCACACCACTATTGCAGAAGGTGTGGAAAGAAGAGAAGGTACCTGGCCATTGATTGGAAGAAGGGTTACCTTGTCAAACTGCCGAAGAAGGGAGACCTCAGTGTTTGCAAGAACTGGCGCGGAATCACTCTCCTGTCCACCCAATGCAAGCAAAATATTGAGTCGCATCATCCTGGAGAGACTAAAGGATGCACTGGATTCAAAACTACGACCGGAACAGGCAGGCTGGCTGGCTGGATTCAGGAAGTACAAATCATGTGCAGACGAAATTGCAACGCTTCGCATCATCATAGAACAGAGTATAGAATGGCAGTCAACTCAACTCTACCTCAACTTCATCGACTTTGAGACGGCCTTTGACAGCGTCGACCGAGAGGTAATTTGGAAACTGCTTCAACACTATGGAATACCACAAACCTTTATCAACCTCATTCAGGAAAAATTTGAAGACTCCACATGCCAAGTAATTTACGATGGGAAGCTCAGTGACGCCTTCGCAGTGACATGAAGACAGGAGTGAAACAAGATTGACTACTATCACCCATGATATTCCTGATTGTGGTCGACTGTACTGGATCATGCAGCAAACAGTGGGGAGCTGTGAGAAGAGGGGGATTTGCTGGCTGACTGGACTGCGGAAAAGAACCTAGAAGATCTGGATTTCGCCAACGATGACTTGTGCCTGATGTCACACAAACTTGATGATCTACAGGCGAAAACTAACAAGTTGACAGAAGAGGCAGGGCAGGACAGCGAAGACGGGACTTCAGGTGAATATAGAGAAGACAGAAGTGATGAAGATACGGCACCACCACCACCAACAACAACAACAACAACAAACTCCAATCACCATGAACGGGAGAAACTTAAAGGAAGTAACCTCCTTCACCTATCCAGTCAGGCAGCACTGTTTCAACTACACGCTGCACAGGCACAGACGAGGATGTCAAAGCCAGCCAGGATCGGAAAAGCAAGACAAGCGTTCATTAGCCTGAAACCAGTGTGGAGATCTTCTGCACTGCACTCAACATGTGGTACAAGATCCGGATTTTCAACACCAATCCAGTCAAGTCAAGTCAGTGCTTCCGTATGGTTGAGAGACTTGGCGCGTTACGAAAGTGATTTCCAATAAACTACAGACATTCATCAACATCTGATTACGCTGGCTGGTTACTGAAGATCAGATGGATTGCCAGAATGGAAGGAATAAGCAACAAGGAGCTCTGGAAACGAACCAACCAAGAACCTATCACCCAACAAATATGCACTGGGAGGAAGTGGAGATGGATTGGGCATGCACTGAGAAGGCCGACTGGGGACACCATGCGTCAGGCCAGTTGCTCGAGTGGAATCCCCAGGGGAAGCGACGAGTTGGGTGTCGGAGGTGGGGGTGACATGGAGCAGATCGTGTGAGGAGGAAATGAGAGGTTGTGGGCTGTCGTGGAGCCATGTTCAAAAGATTTCAGAGGACAGAGTAGAATGGAGACGTGCTACTGAATCCCTATGTTCCATTAGGAACCCAATGGACTAATCATAATATTAATAATAATAATAAAGAGGAGTGAATATTGGCAATAAGCTAGCTGTGGGTATATTCACCAATGATAACTTGTCATGATTACATGACAAATTATCTTCGAGTATAAGATGATGATGATAATTAAGCAATAGAATATTTGATTGAGCAGTTTGGTGATTTGTGTGGATGAATTGATTTCGAGTTGGTTGGTAGTCAGTTTGATGTGATATGAATTGTGTAATCATTGGAGAGTTGGTATGAGTGTGGAGGTGTTTTGTTTTCGAATATGACTGGTGAGGAGTGTGCATGCATGACATCGTTGAGGGGTTGGATCTTCGATTTTCGTAGTGAGTGTGTTGTGATTCATCCAGCTAGCCAGTCGGAATCCACTGATGTGCATTAGCCTATTTCTGTTAATTCGTCCGACTTGATTTTGCTTCATGGTTGATGACTTCTCAGTGGAATTGTGGGAGATCTCATCTCGAATTGTGTGTGATTAATGGGAATCGGTGAGTAATCTGAGATCTGGACATATATGAAGATTTGTTCATTTCAAGGTGGTATTCATTATACATTGATTAGATTCCATGAAATTTCGATTCGGATAAATAGAGAAGGAGTATTCATTATGTATTCGAGTTAATTATGAAGAACTTAACAGTGAAATGTATCTTGAAATAACACTACCTAATTGTACTGTGAATATTAGGAATTTCCACACCTAATTTATTCTAAAAAGCACGTCATCAATAGTGAACATTGAATATATTATATGCTGAGATTTGAACAGGATTAATAGGTTTCTTTTTTATCAGTCTCTACGCCAACTGACTTTGTTAAACTGAACAAAAGTTTATGTAAATTAATAGTTGATAAAGATTTCGTTTTAAAATGAGTTACCATTGGAAACTGAAGTTGTTTGCATTTATGCAAGTCAACTTCGAATTAGACACGACTTGATCAAGGTAAGCTGGAGAATCATTTACTCAGAACTCCTGATGGCTCGCTTCATATTCAACTTACTCTTCATGATGATGATGATGATGATGATGATGATGATGATGATGATGATGATGATGATGATGATGATGATGATGATGATGATGATGATGATGATGATGATGATGATGATGATGATGATGATGATGATGATGATGATGATGATGATGATGATGATGATGATGATGATGATGATGATGATGATGATGATGATGATGATGATGATGATGATGATGATGATGATGATGATGATGATGATGATGATGATGATGATGATGATGATGATGATGATGATGATGATGATGATGATGATGATGATGATGATGATGATGATGATGATGATGATGATGATGATGATGATGATGATGATGATGATGATGATGATGATGATGATGATGATGATGATGATGATGATGATGATGATGATGATGATGATGATGATGATGATGATGATGATGATGATGATGATGATGATGATGATGATGATGATGATGATGATGATGATGATGATGATGATGATGATGATGATGATGATGATGATGATGATGATGATGATGATGATGATGATGATGATGATGATGATGATGATGATGATGATGATGATGATGATGATGATGATGATGATGATGATGATGATGATGATGATGATGATGATGATGATGATGATGATGATGATGATGATGATGATGATGATGATGATGATGATGATGATGATGATGATGATGATGATGATGATGATGATGATGATGATGATGATGATGATGATGATGATGATGATGATGATGATGATGATGATGATGATGATGATGATGATGATGATGATGATGATGATGATGATGATGATGATGATGATGATGATGATGATGATGATGATGATGATGATGATGATGATGATGATGATGATGATGATGATGATGATGATGATGATGATGATGATGATGATGATGATGATGATGATGATGATGATGTGGTCTAGGAATGAAGTGAAGTCCTAACGATCCAACCATTTATCTCAAACAAGGTGATATATCCAATAATCCACACTTCACCTACTAATATCCTCCACCATTTACAGATCCACTTGTGCACTTGTGCTTTACATTGTGAAGCATTTCACGTTTCGCCGCCTATCCACCTTCACAGAAGTTTCTCTACCAACTAGTTATACTGAAGACTCTTAGGAAGCTTACTTTCTATGTGTTGTTCAATTTGACTGTGAGATGAATTCGATTATTTATATAGAAATATACAAACACATCATAGTCATCGTCAATTTGCGAGTTTAAACTGCTTCCTCAAATCGTCTATCCGATTCTTATCGGTAATGCTCAAAGTCGTACATAATGCTTCATTCTCTCTGATTTACTCAAAACCTAACCGAATGTTGGCCTTCACAATCGATAGATGTAGTTGAGAGTGTTTCCCTTGAGAAATGTAACTTGAATAAAGTGCATAGTAGTCTGGACTGTAAGTCTCCAAACAAATGGATTTCTCTGAGTTGAACTGCTTACTTCAATGAGCACATTCTAAGTGATATTCATTTCCAGATTGACTTTATTGAGCGTACCGATACAGTGAGAGAGAATCTCGTATGAAGAGTAACTATGAACACGATGAATGGCCAAATGCCTCCGTAAGAGTTCCCACTCAGTGTGTCAACGTGACGAAGCTGTAGACGGTGTGCTTAAGTATTGTGAGGGTTTACACTAGTGGCCAGGTGAACCGACGATATTGTGTGCACCAGTGAATACTGGTCGAGTTTACTTACATAAGGAGAGTGAGCCTCCACGTGGCCCCACTAGATTCACACCAATCCACCGTCACAGTTGACTTAACCGTAAACGCGGTCGACGAAACCGATACGTGGAGATCAGCATGAGTGTTCTCCAGAGGACAGACCGCCTAGCTAACTGTCAGAAATCTACTCATTACACGTGGAGAATTGCAGCCGGTAGGTTGGATGAATCCAGCTGCTTCATTCCGCTGGTCATTGTTGTTCAAACAATCTCCAGAGACAGGAGTAGTTTCCATGGTCAAGGTGAAGCATATTTGGTTCTGAATGTGGATGTGACCAGCCCTAGTCTTGACTGTGAGTATGTCGGTAGGCCAAAGACAGTCACCACTATGAATCTATCGGCATCATGGATTCGTATATCAGACCTCCTAGAGGAATACCTTTTCGGGAAGACCAGTGGCATTTTGTTGTGCAAGACTGTGAAAACTCACTGAAACATATCGAAGTCATCTCTGCTCACAACAATGTGGATAGGGTTAAATGATCCAGTTGCCTGGACAATGTGGATGCATTGAAGCATGACATTTATAAGGGTTCTCGCATTACACTTATCACTTTTAGGCATGCGTCAACAGAGTTCTGTGAAAGGAGTGTTAGTTTTCATGTGGAAGCATTACTACGACATAGGCTCCTGTGTTAGAGGGTCGATCACACAGGTTTTTGGATGGTGACGTCGTCGAAGATGAGGTCCATGCTGGAAATATGAGCTCAGCTTCTAATTGGAGGTTCACTCCAATTAAACTCACACTGGTCACATATCTGACCAATCTGTGAATAACATGAAGAAGAAATTCTGCATAAATCTTGATTGTTAGTCAGAGTAGGATGGAATTAAGAATAGATCTTGATGCTGACAAGTATAAACGTGGTATTGATCATGGAGTGAAATCAGTTGGGAAACGATTGAAAATGTGAGCTAAGTGGACAGCTGTTTTGTCCTAGAATGGGACTTCTCATCAGTGTGTGCCCATAATCCTGAAAGGGATCAGACCCACGACCATCAGATTCTGAAGTGTCGAATTTACCATCTAGCCACTCAGTCTGCGTTCAATGCTCCACATTTCCCTACTTCCCTCACCTCGCGAAACGTCACAATCTTCATCTCTTGTCATCCATCTTTCACTACCTATCCTCACTCAAAACTCAATCACTTTCATTACACTCATCAGTGAGGATAACTACTCACAGATGACATTGAATGAAGGTCTCACTATGTCATGAATTGACAGTGGAGTGACAATTCGAATCATTGCATACCGACATAGTGACCAAGTGATGGTATGCCACACACAGAACCTGAAACTCACAGGTTTGATGAGTGATGCACACATGAATGTGAATAGGTGAGGAGTTGCAAATTGGAAGAAGACAGTAGTCCAGTACTCCCAACTCTCCACTGAATCTCAAAGTGATATCAGTCTGTGATGAATACCAACTTGTAATGTGTGGAATGTTGATTCTCCACACGAGTTCTTCCTACCGACGCTTCAATATGAGTGGTGTTTAATGAATGATGAGGAAACCGACTCAATTTGTCTTTCCTTCAACGATGATCAAATTTCACCTGATATGTGTTGATAGCCAATACAAAATGGAAAGCGAGAGAGGGAGTGAGAGAGAGAGAGAGGGATAGATGTCGATGCGGTGACTTCATTAGTATTTGTTGGCTTCGATGTTTTGTTGGGAAACACACACACACATAGCAGTGTGAGACGGAGGTGCAGGTAATTTTGAGAAGTGGTAATGGTGATTTTGATGACCACTGCAAGTTTGAATACAGTACAGAACTATGTGGAAACAGTAATGAATCATCTATCGACTACTCTGAATGTTTTCACAAAGGACTGAATAACACCGATTGATGATTGATGAATAGAGAAGTATTGTATAGGTGTGAGTGAGTCTCAAATAGCCTGCCTGCCTGCCTGCCTGCATTCAAGCAGTCATCAAACTGTTAATTCACTACTATCAATTCTTTCCCACAACCTTCTTCACACATGAGATACTGAATGAGAAATTGTGTGTGTGTGTGTGTGTGTGAAGTGTCATAGAATGAGAGAAGATAGACTGGGATAGAATGACACTGTGTGGAAATGATCATGTTCGACTGTTGTATCAGTTGACTGGTGTCAATCTGCAAGTGAATGACATTTTGATAGTTGTAGTTTATGGCTACTTCTGTAGGTCTACCGAAACTCTCCTCCTCATGATTATTCAACTGATCTTGTTTTGTGCACAGTGAAAGATGTGTACAACATTATTCACTGGATTGGTGTGAGTGAGTTTTTGATGGTGAGTGGTCGAAGGGAGAACAGTGACTGGTAGTTGACGAACAATGGACCAGTTTGTATGCAGCTGTGTTCAACACCAGTCAGTCAGTCAGTCAGTGTAGAAAAGATTTAAAAAGCAGTAAGTGTCACAATTTGTTATTTTGGCACAAAATTGAAGTTGAATTTTGAGTTGAGTAGAGTAGAGTAGAGTAGAGTAGAGATTTCAATGTGTGGAGATAATTGAGGAACAGATTTATGTGTACATACATGGCCAACCGACAGAGAGGTGTTCAAATTAACATGAAACCGGTTGGTTGGAAATTACGAGAGGAACACATTTCACCAGCGTGTTAGTCAAGCAGTCAGTGTGTGGAGATATGTGGACATTGACTGACTGATTTGATGGTTGTATTTATCACAGACTGACATTGGAAATAAAACTTATGACAACCTGAGAACAGTTGTGTGGACAGTTGTGTGTAATGTTGCAAGCAGATGTTCAGTGTTACAAGGCTTCACGATGTGCATCCTTCGAAATCAATCAGTCAATCCACTCACTCACTCACACACTCACTCACTGTCTCACGTTCATTGATGATACACTCCTAGAAGGATATGCTGAAGTCTCAATGAGAAATTGTGTGATGTGTGGTGTCTGGTGTCAACATAGTCGACAGTGATGTGCACACTCACTACTCAAACTGGATGATGGTTGTGAGAAATTAGGAGTGGAGAAAAGTGGGATGTGTGGAGGGAGAACTGAACTGCAACTCACTGAATGAATAAATACATCGTAGACTACATGACACTTGTCAGTGGTGGATTCGATCCCTGGAATGTTCATTAGTGTGGGTGCACACTGCTCAACACTCCAATACTTTGACAGTTTTCAATGCTTCTCAAATTCATTTCAATGTCTCATATTTCTTGGAATCTATTTCTTATCTGGTAGTGAGAGGTACTTTGTGATTGATTGTATATTCTATTCTTGTCTGATATACTCAGTGGATGTTATTTATGCAAATTACTCCACACTTCAATGTAATCATAAACATAAGGTATAGTTTTAAAAACATTCACTTGTTGATATTGTGTATGTATCTGCATGCATAATGAATAGTTGAGTTTTGTGGGACGTCGAAGTAGAACAAAACTCCACTTGATCTATCTGCATATTTTATGCTGTAAACATGGTTTGTTGTTTACTGAAGAATACCAACTAAGGATTTTGGTCTTTTTGTCTACTTGTTTGTAACTGAACTGATAATTTGATAACTATGAGAACTACGCTCAAATCTTGGTTTCGTTTTACTGGTAATGCCTAATAGCATTTGAGGCAATAGTCTCCAGATTATTGTTGGTGCTTCACTAGCGGAAGCAGCACCACCAACAGCAGCAACTACATCAGCATTGACAGGAGACTGGTGGATCAGTAATCTAGTGGATGCTTATTTGAATTCTGCCATAACATGAGCTTTTATTTCCTCTTCATTATTGAACACGAAGTAAAGCCCTCTAGTTCGCTTATGCCAACAGATACGTCTGTGTGGAATGCAACGGTTTCGCACACATCACTCTTCTAGCGTGTTGTTCTGTAAGATGGTATGCATACATATACACATATCCTGTATATATGATTATGAAGTATTTGGAGGATCGATAACTTGTGATTATGGTTGACTGTGAGATGGCTCGCAGTAGAATGTGCCTGTATGCCAGTGAGTGATGAATCTTCAACTGACACACGATACCGACATGTACCGCTTCTCATATTAAAATGTTATTCATCAGGCTTTCGAATCACTAGACTATTCTATTGTCCAACGGGATGTCACTCATTATGAATTGACAGTTATTGCGCGTTGTTGTAATGGATTGAACTGATACACAGTGGCTTTCATCTTGCACTAGACTAATGAATAACGCTGAA